CAAGTTCGAGTCAAACTTAAAATAAAAAGGAAAAATTGGAGGCATGATTTTACCTCCCTTCACATCATATTAAATTTTTAAATAAAATGAACAATAATTCGAAACAAAATCGATCGTCAATAATTTCCGACTGTACGTTCGACAATGAGGCCAATCCATGAATTCCGCTGAATTTTTGTGCGGAAAAATAGCCAGTGATAATATTTCGCTGTTCGTCAACAATTCAGCTGTCTTTTTCACAGAAGCTATTTTGGAACCAAAAATAGTGCTAATCAAATGAGGAAGTTAGCACGACCTGGACAGCACTTAGCGCCCCTCCGTTTGCTTGACTTTCTGAGTTGCACTTATAACAATAAGAATCGAGAGTGTTGCTTTATCGTTAGGAATTCTTAAAAAGCCTCTCAGAAGGCATCCTTTTCTCCTTTGCCGTCCCACTCGTGTTTAGAGTGGAATTTCATGGAAAGCATTAGAAGAAGCGAACAAACTTGTTCCCAATGGAAAATATTCCAGCCTATTTGATTCCCAGAAAAAAAAAAAGGAATAATTCAGCACACAGAAGTGACCTCAACTGGCACAACGAAAAAGCAAGAAGAAAGCATGTTACAGACTTGCTAACAGTGGCATCTTTACAAAATGATTTCTGCATAAAAGAAGGATGTGAAGCATAAAGAATAAAACGGCAGCAATAGCAATGAAAAGTGATATGATCGGATGACAACATGGCTGAGATATCGCATCATGAAAAGAGAGACGCAGAGCGAAATGGCGGAACAGTACAAGGCAGAATTAACAGCACTGAGGTCAATTAACATGAAAATTCAGGAGGCCCGACCCATACAGCAAACTGCTAGTCATTTTTTGGCCTTTTTCCCGGCTGCTTTCGATTCTAGCTTTGCCTTCTCCTCCCTCAAAGTATGCATCTGTGACTCGATGCGGCGCAATTCGTCCTCGAAATTATCATTGATTTCTTTGGTTCGTAAGTTCAACTGCAATACGTTTAAACATCAAACAAAAAAGTAAGAATTAAATGGCTTTGGATGTTATTTGACCAGTTATGACATCCATGAATCAAAGCCACCGAATGTTCAGCTCATCCCCGATTTTTCAAAAAACGAGCTTTTTGCCTTGAAAAAAGCAACAGTTCTATTCGTCAATTTCCTGTCATCACAAAACTTTTTCAAATCATTGCCCCAATAGACTTCAGCGTATCCAAGAACACGAGACAGCTATGTGTCCCGTGTTAGTGATGATACTGAGAAGCAGAACAGCACATATCACACCAGTTTAGAAGTGATGGAAGTCTTCGACCAGAAAATCACATCTATCAACAGAAATGGAAATGATAACAGGCAAAAGCAGATATCCTAAAAACCCATATTTTCAATAGTAAAAATGTTTGGTGCGTGAGTGCGAGACATGGAGGAAGAACGGGTGAGCGACCGAGGTGGGAGAGGAACTCAGACCAACGCTTCAGACTCTAGAAAAAAACTTTCCTAAAAGTTCAGTGAAGTCAATAATTGAGCCTAAAAAGAACTTATGAGGAAAATCTAGCTAAATTTCAGTGCAGTCGATAACTGATCAACAAGAAGCAAACCAGTTCTTCACGCCGCTTCATCTCTTCCTCCTTTTTGTTGACTCGAGCAACGAACTGCTCACGCATTACTTTATCTCTGTCCGCCATTTCTTCAATGAATTCACGCTGCTTCTGAAGATAAATACTTTTTGGGGGAATCAAAGTAAAATTTATAAGCGAAGTAAGTAAAAAATCTCAAACTTTAAGCAAAAAAACTCTGACACAAAAAAAAAAAAAATAGAAAGAGAAAATAAAATAAGTGTTCTTTCTATATGTAATCCCAGTGTACAGCAAAAGTATGTGAAAAAGAAGGGCAAGTGCTCTGTATCACAAATACCAATGAACTGGTGAGAGGGAGCGGTTTTTTTGAATTACATTAATTCGACGATATACGTATCAACACGCTCAACAGAGATGCTTCCTAATCGTCAATGTTATTATTAAGAAAAAAGCCTGAGGACGGTTCGGATTGCTGCAATCAATAAGTCCAGTTGATCTTACATTATAATTATTGAGAGCAATCAACCAACCTGTGCAAAAGCTTCCATCATTTTTGGCCCAGTGTCGCCATCACCAACTTTCATTGCACGTAAACG